TATATCTGATACTAAATCAAGTTGCTGACACAATAGGATAAGGATATTACGAAAGCGAAACGAAATTTAAGTGTTGCCGTCGAAAGAGGTAAGACTGATTCAAAATAAGGGTCGAAGGCTGTGATGCGTATGAAACTGGTGGTGGATTATCGCATATATGAATATTCATCCATATTTCATCGTAGATGTTTGCGATCAAACGCAGCATGATGAATGAATGAATATGATGAATGATGGTGGTCACAGATGTGCGGCGGATATGAATACTTATGTGGTGAGTGTTTAGGCAAGGGTTGAAGGGTGTTTTGATATGAGCGTGACATTTTGCTGATGTTATCAATAATAACATCGACGATAATAGCAAGCGTCAAAACCATATGAAAAACGGCGATGCTTCAACGACTACAAAAATAATTATTTAATCGACCGTAAAATTGCTCATGAATCGCTTGAATAGCCAGCATGCTGAAATGGTTAATTTCACTCCGATACGATAGCAAGAAATATGAAATTATACCTTCTCACATGATACGGAAGCTGTTTTCCGGCTCAAAATTTGGTCAACAGGAAGCCTTTGATATTCACAAGAACGCAAATTGATCTGAGACAGAAGCTTGATAACTAGAATTATGGCGTAAATATTAAAAAATTTTTGGTATCGCTTGTTTGAGTGGAGTTCGACGGACAATTTATGAAGTATGACAGTCGCAATGTATTCGTATAGGTGTGGCTCGATGAGAGAAACTAGATAATCCAAAGCTGTGAAAACATTGTTACCGAGATGAGAGCATGATGAATGACGGCATCTGATGTAAAAATACTGTGAAAAAATTTTAGTCCATCCTATCAGGTTGATTACATCAATCATAAACTTTATCGTTTGCTGACGCGTATATCAACATCGGGCGATGTAATCAAGCTGATAGCATGGAATAAAATTTGTTCACAATGCTTTTAAAATCTAATGTGAAGAAAGTGAATCTAAATTTGGAGTCGCTGAAATCGAAGAGATGAGGTTATATGATTCCCAGAGCGATACAACAGCACTGCCGCTTCACAGAATCACAAATGTGGATATTCAACAGGAATGCAAGCCAAGTGAACAGCTAATTGCAATTTTTGAATGTAGATCACAACAAGGCATTGCGCGAAATACGCTGAACAGCGGTGAAACGATAGTTTGGGAAGGGAGATTGCAATCTTGTGCTCGAATCTCAAGCTGCTAATATTGTTGCTCGATATTGGCATCATTACTGGATGCGTTTGTTGAGAGCACTTCAACCCACTCTTGACTGCGTCATATTGTTGATTTTCATCGTTGATTCAGCCAATCGAAACGACAAATTTCGAAAACAAATACATGATTTATAAGTAAACGTGAAGAAGTAAGTTCGAGGATTGGGGAGCGGCAAAATATAATTTAATGTCGATCAGGAAAGCAAGCACCAGTCAATTCATGTTCAACGTGAAATATAGAAATTGATTTCAGCGCAATCATATCAATCTGGACATTCCGGACGGAATTTGACGAAAGAGTAGATGAATGGTAGACGCTCAATGTCTCATGTGATAATTGATCAGTTCTGCGGCATTTGTTAAACGGGACATTTCGCTGTCGAAAATTTCTTAAACATTCACATTCGTGCAGTGCAGCAGCAGCAATGATCAATGAGAAAGAAGGAGGGATACGGTAATGAGTGGGCATGCAACGTGCTATCTACTGCCAATCGAATTGCCAGTTTAGTGGAATGTTGTGCTGGAAAGTCAGGTTTGATGGAGGCCATTTAAGGGCAGTTTCTGAACGAAATGAAAGTTCATACTCCAGAAACCAACCTGCTAGAATTGGCAGATACTGGTCGAGCAGTATTGTGGACGCGTTGTCGTCTTCATCAAAGTCCTCTGAAGCGTGAGTGGTAGGCGTAGATCGTGCATCATCAACCTCGTTCAGTGCAACCCGCTCCAGTCTTCCTGACATATCCTCAGCATTGTTCGGTTCGTCGTCGATCGGCGTTCGAGTATGAACACTGAACTGGTCATTTTGGTCATTTTAGAGACAAATTCTGAATCATTATTTTAAAATCTGCGGAAATTTTCGAATCTTCCGGTCTCCTAACTCTTCCGATGTTTTTCAGCTTCCGCTAATGTGGTCGGTTCTTTTACAGGAACTCCTCAAAATCGCTCGTCGAAGAACGCCACTCAATCAATTTCTAATCGCGAAATGAGCCGAAAGATCGCATAATTCCAAACAGTGGCATTTGAAAATAAGTTGCTGATGGTAAGTACTGAGGCACGACACCTATCTGTAGGAGGTGATGGAAAAGCTGACGGGATAGAATGATCAGGGACTGCAACAGCACGAGATCTAATGATGGTTCGACTGGTTGCATCTCCGTTTACCAAACCGCACTGCTGATGTTGTTGACGTTTCTGTCCAAGAACCCTCATTTGCAACCGTTTCTCCACCATGTAATCGGCTGCTGAAGTTTCTATCAGATAGACAAATTTATACGAGTCAAAAGATCACGAAATCATAGAATTCCTTCAGTGATATCAATTCATTTACAAGAATTAATGTAAAATTACTCAAGCGAGATCGCGCTCACCTGTCAAAGGACTGCTATTTCGCATCATACGTTCCGCAAATTTTATTTCTTCACGTTGCACAATTCCTTCAGCTTCTTCACTCTTTTCAGATTTCGGCGAAGATGGATTTCCTGACACTTCAGAGTTATTTGTTCTCTGAAACATTTCGCTTAATGATATCTTCATTGCGCTCACGTAAGCTGGTAGTGCTATGTTATATGTGATTTTTGATTTGAAACGGAAGACTCATTCAGAACAAATCCTTCTATACGTAGAGTGAACCGAAAAGAGGCCCGAATATTTTGTGCCTATTCCTCACGACTAGTAGACTCAACAATTAATCAGGAAGCGAGTCTAGGCGAACAAAGTAATCCCAAAATAGGAAGAGGGCATCAGTAAGTTCACAAGCATCGCCCACCTGTTGCGTGCTGCTCCGTTTACCAGTTCTGGGTGTGACCGGATAATCCAACTCATCCTCATCAGCATCGTCCTCTTCAGCTTCTGAATCAGTCGGATCAGTTGAGTTTTCCTGATTTCGCATCGACATGGCACGTCGAAATATCTCGTGGTATATTCGTAAATTGAGTCCAAGTTGTGGGCATGAAACTAAAATAGTTCGCTCCGAATCATCTTACAAACAAGATGTTACATCATGAATGCACAAGCGATCAAACAATAGTGATTTTCGATACATATGCTACTTTCGACTGGAGGATGATCATGAAGTCAGAAACTACACTGGAACGTCGCAGAAACAGAATGAGTTATATTATAAAATCTTTAACAGATGGTTATATATGATCAGATGGATTTGTTCAGCTAGTTAAGCCTCATAGTGGTACTCACTGCTTCGTCGAGGACGAATACTTGTCTCGTTTCGTTTCGTATATCCAGCGGAAGGGCTAGGCTCGATAATGGCAACTGTTTCACGACGGTCAATTTTTTGACGTCCTGCAAATCAATTTTTACGTTTTCATTTTTTATAGACTCTTCGAATTTATTAAATGGTTTTTGAAATTTAACTGGGAACATAAAAATACACAAGTAGGCAGAAATTTCACAGTCACAGAAAATCTCTCGCAATTTGAGATTTCCACTCTGCTAACATATCTTGAAGTTCACCTTAATCGGGGGATGGTATAACATAAAGAATTCGTAATGTTCACAGTAATGATGCTGTTCACAGTCAAAATGTTCTATTCTTAAAACACTTCAAAAAGGACGCATGGAATAGAACAGAGGAGACAGAATAGAATGGCTTCCAAAATTTGAAGGTGAAAAACATAATGGAATAGAATAGTGCGAAGGGCGGAACAAAACAGTTCTTTGAAATATTCTATGAATAATGAGATGATAATGAGATATGTTACCTTGTGGTATGATTGCTATTGCTGTTA